TGCAGTCCCAGTGTGGCCTGGTGCTAAGTATTTGCTTAAGAAATAAAGGTACCATCTCACCATCAAGCTGATGAGATGGCCTAAAGGCTTTGTTTTGGGATCTGGAATTCCTGGACACTGCTCATAGATGCTGTGTTCACAGATACTGCTTCCGCACAGCAGGACTAACAGTCTTTCTAGCCCAATCCCACTCATTGGTATATAGCTTTGAAAGCATTTCTGACTTCTCTCGAGGACTGTGCTAAGAAGGAAGTTAGGACAGGGCTTGGGGAGCCACTGAAAGGCCAAAGCCAACACCATCTACTGTGGCCCCAGTACCAGGAGCCTCTCCCTCTGTTCACCCTGGCTCTCAGTGCCTGGTCCAGTGTACACTTGGCGGTGGAATCTCTGGCACCCACAGCAGGAGGGGATGTCACCTGGAGAACTTGAGAGAGCCAGAAGAGATGAGCAGCCAGAAAGCTGAGCCTTCCCTTCAGACCGGGCTGACATCTCTGGGCACGCCCACACATTCTTCTCAGTCTGAGACTTCACTCCTGGGGGTCGCATGTGGGCACTGGGTAGGAGGTTGCCATCTTGGGGAGGAGGTCATGGGAACCAACCACAGATGAGTGGGACTATGGGATGCAGAAAGGGTGAAACTAGGAGCTCTTAGTACAGTTAAGGGGAGGAAAAAGAAAAAAAGCACACACTGCCCTGTTTTTTTTTTCTTTTCATTTACACTATGGAAAAATCCACCATGGAAATGTCATGGGAGAGCATGCACAGGCCCCACCCTTGGGAGTGGTGTAGATGTGTTTGGGGAGGTTCTTGTTTGCTTCCAGGTCCATCCAACATGCTGTCCAGTAGGATCCTGTGGCAGGCTGGCCATGGTTTTCTCTCTCCTGCTCCTCCTCCAGGTGGAGGGTCTGCAGGACCTTCTGCCTAGCAAGTGGTGGCCAAGGACTGGTGGATGGGTGGCTGGAAGCAGCGCACATGCTCCACAGTGGAACTGTCTGTCTCTACAGACTTCATGTACTTGTTCAGGATGGCGAAAACCTCATTGTTCAAGATCTGGTACTTCCTGATCCGGTCAGCCATTTTCTTCAGGGGCTGCAGGAGGACAGGGATGTTCAGGTTAGGGCAGGAGGAGAGGGTACAGAGAGGGAGAGCAAGAGAAGTCAGAGGTTGGGGTCAGTGCTTCAATGATCATGTCACTCTCTTGTTTAAAGGCCTTCTGTGGGTTCCTAGAGCTCTGGAAATCAAATGTTAACTGGCCCATAAAACTCTGCAAGTTTCAAAACATCCTACAAAGCTACAGTAACCAAAACGGTGTGGCACACATAAAGACAAGACATGTAGACCAGTGGGACAGAATAGAGAGCCCAGAAATAAACCCCCACTTGTATGATTAGATGATTTTCAACAAGGGTGCCAAGACCACTCAATGGGGAAAGGACAGTCTTTTCAACAAGTGGTGCTGGGAAATATGGACATCCACATGCAAAAGAACAAAGTTGGACCTTTATCTTATACCATCTACCAAAATTAACTCAGAATAAAGACCTAAATATGAGTTTAAACTATAAAATTCTTAGCAAACAGGGGAAAATCTCCATGACACTGGATTTGAAAATAATTTCTTGGATATGACACCAAAAGCATAGGCAACAAAAGAAAAGCTGGACTACACCAAAACTGAAAACTTCACTCTCAACCAAGTAAAAAGGCAACCCAGAGGAGAAAATACTTGAAAATTCTATCTCATGAGGGATTAATATCAACAATATGTAAAGAACTCCAACTCAACAAAAATAACCCAATTAAAGAAATGAACTAAGAACTTGAACAGACATTTCCTCAAAGAACACATACAGATGTCCAATATCACAACACAACATATAACACAGCATTAACAATCAGTAGGGAAATGCAAATCAAAACCACAATGAGCTAAAACTTCACACCATTAGGATAGCTATTAAAAACAGAAAATAACTGCTGCTGAGGTGGTGGAGGAATTGGGACTCTCGGGCACTGCTGGTGGGAATGTAAAATTGTGCAGCTGCTATGGAAAACAGGGTGGTAGTTTCTCAAATAATTAACAGAATTACTCTCTGATCCAGCAATTCCACTTCTGGGTATCTACTCAAAAGAACTGAAAGCAGGAACTTGAAGAGACATTTGTATACCCATGTTTCATGAGAGCCAAAAGGTGGAAGCAACCCAAGTGTCCATGGATGGATGGAAAAAATGTGGAATATACATACAATGTAATATTATTCAGCCATAAAAAGGAAGGAAATTCTGACATGTGCTATAACATGAGGAACCTTGAGGACATTATGCTAAGTGGAAAAAATCCATCACAAAAAGACAAATACTATGAACAAATACTATGAGGTAGTCACATTCATAGAGACAAAGTAGAAGGGTGGTTGCCAGAGTCTGGGCAGAGGCGGAGCAGGTAATTATGTTTAATGGGTACAGAGTCTCAGTTTTGCAAGATGAAAAGTGCAGTGGAGATGGATAGTGGTGATGGGTGAACACCAATAGAATGTACTTAATATCACTGAATTGTACACTTACAAAAACGATTAAAATAGTGTAAGGATTTTATCACAAAAGAAAACTCTTTGTGAGGTGGCTCCTACCTCCGCCTCCTCTCATCTAGTCCATCTTCATGCCTCTGTGCCTTTGCTGTGGCCATTCCCTCCAGCTGGAATGTCCTCTCAGGCCCCACACCTCCTCTGCTGCTGGTCATTCTGGACTCAGCCCAAGCACCACCTCTTATGGGACGCCTTCTCTGACCACCCCTCCCTTTCCCCACAGCCTTGTTTACAGGCTCCTTCTCTCCCCTCCACCCATGGCAGCCCTGCTCACCCCATGCCAGCCCTTATCCCATCCCAGCACCTGGCACAGCTTTAGTGTTCAGTGAATGTAGGATGAGGAACCAGCATGGGCAGAGTCTGACAGGCACAGGGAGGGTGTATTTCAGGTCTGAAGCCCTGCCCTGCTGGGGTGACCTGATTCATCCTGGTAGGCTATAAGCGAGTGACTCAGCTTCCTCCAAACAGGTCCCAGCCACTAAGTATCTTTGTACCACCTGTGGTGTGGGGAGTTGGCCTCCATAAGCAGCTCACCTTTTGTTTTCTGATGAAAGCCAGGTTGTCAGGCCCCACCCTAGCTCCCAGGCCCAGCCACGAGCCTGCTTACCACATTCTTAATGATTTCATCCTTCCCGTCCTGCCGCTGTACTTTTAGCAGGTGGTAACAGAAGTCGAACAGGTCGAAGCGACGCTGCTGGCCCAGCAGGACGATGATGGAGCAGCCAGCCCAGTTCAAGCCATCACCGAAGCACTGCCTGGAAGCAGGGAGAGGAAGCAGCTGGAGCAAGAGACTGGGGGTGGTGGGGAGAAAGGGACCCTCATCTCAGGCCAGTATTGTAGCTAGTAAGCAGGTCTGTCTTTGGGCCCAGTAGCTTCATCTGTGAAATGGGTACAAGGGTGTGAGAGTGGATTCACTTGTTCCAGGGACTGTGGTTGTATCATAAGCCCATCTAACCATTAAAAAGTGTCAGCTTGTTTGCAGCACTGAGGTGAGGAAAACAACCCAACCAGCCCTTGAGATTTATGTTTATGATTATTTCAGGTGGGTTAAAGGAGAATCTGTCTTGGCTCTGCAAAGGAGCCAGGAGAACACCTGTGAGGTGAAGGGCCATTTCAAATCATACATCGACTGGTTGGAATGGGCTGGGAGGGGAGGGACGGGGAACAGTGGCCGGATGAGCAGACGTCAGATTGCAGGCCCCCAACTCTCGAGAGACACCGGGTGATGCAGACGGCTGTTGGGTTGTCCCTCTGCAGTCTCGTACTCAGCAGCAGCCCCCCCGGCCCCATTCCTGTGCTCAAAGTATGCAGGCCAGTGGTGCTCTGAGCATGGCCTCACAGCAGCCTGCCTGCCTCTCAGCCCGCTCCGACTCCTCGGCGGCCTTTCCACCCCTGCACAATGTCTCTTTGGAGCTCTGGGCTGCTGGAGGGCAGGCTGTGTCTGCCTTCTTCACCCTGTCTCTGACGTGGAGCTGGTGCATGCAGGAAGAACCGGGCTCTGCTGTCTTCTCTAAGGACAGGACTGGGATACTCCTAAACGCTCCTCATTTTCCAGGAGTAGAGTTTTGTGGGGGGTGGGGTGGGCAGTGAGGTTCCAATTCCACACCCTCCCCAGCTTCCAGTCTCGCCAAGACAGGGCCCTGTTGTGTAAACACACACACACACACACTCCATTTCTGCCTCCAGCAAATCTGTTGCCTTTCCTGGAGTGTCCCCATCTTCCTTCTGTAGATCCAGAGCCCAGGTACTGGTCAAGGCTCAGTTCTAGTCTGTGAATTGAAGTCTGGGAATCTTCTCTTCTCTTTTCTCTGACATCTGTCACCTTCCTGCCTGCACTACAAAGCAACCTCATCAGATGTACCTTATGTGTTTCACATTGCCCCCTGGGCCCTGTGAACTCCATGAGGCCAGGAATTGTCTACTGTTGTGTGTGCAGCACCTGGCACAGCGACCCACACGCTCAGTCCTCATGCTTGGCCGCCCCTGCCCACCTTTCTGGCTGAACTCTGTCAGCCCAATACCTCGGGGGGACAAGTAGGTAGGGGAGTGACTGTGCTTCCCTGGGGGTACTCACTCAGCTGTGAACTCGTTGGTCCCCACAGGAATGCAGTAGACAAACTGCATGGCGCTCCACAGCCGGTGGAACTCCACACATTCGTCCACGTGCATGACGCCATTGGTGGGTGGTGGGCCCCGCCAGATGGGGTCCTGCAGGTAGCTCCGAATGCGGGTCAGGATGACCTCGAACATGGACAGGCCACAGCACAGCCGCTCCTTGGTCAGCAGGTCACCCTCCCGAGCGATGGCAATTTGCTGGGGACATAAACACAAGGGCACGTAAACCTTCCATCCACATCTCAGACCCTGTCTGTCACCTCCCACCAGAGATTCCTAAACACCGGAGCTGGCTGCACCCAGAATTTGTTCACCAGAGCTGATGTCTTGACTAGAGCAGGACACTAACTTTATAAACCTGAGTGCAATAGGAGGAAAGTCTCATGATAAGTAAAATTCAGGAGGTATCAGTAGAGTAATGATACAACAAAACTATGATCTACACACACAATGAAATGCTAGGTAGTTACTGAAAAGACTGAAGTGATACTATTAGTGCTGCTGCTCCTACTATAGTAGTACTACTGCGAGTCCACACTTACTAAACGTGTGTAATACACCAGGCCCTGTTCTAAGCATTGATAGGTTCAGCCCTGTGAGATAGGTACGATTATTATCCCCATTTTACAAATGAAGAAATAGTTTCGGAGAGGCAGCCAGTGATTGGGAAAGCTGGGGTCTGATTCCCTGTAGTCGATACCTATGGATGAAACTGTAAAGTGAGTAGAGCAAGTTGCAGAAAAGGATGTATACTATAATCCCATTAAATGTCAGCAACACACAATCCCACAGACAAAAGTATATGTGGGGTGTGTGTGTGAAAAACATTTTAGAAAGATTAACACCATCTGTTGTGGGAGCACATGGGCTTGGAGAAGTGAGTGGATTTTCACTTTTTACTTTAAAAACATCTATACAAAAACCACCCTAAGGGGGGAAAAATACTTCTGTATAGCTGAATGTGCTACAATGAGCATATATTAACCTTTTAAAAATTGCCCCTGATTTCACAGAATTATTTCCTCTAGTTAGAAGTCCTTCTTTGACTATTGCAAACAATTTCTATAACTGGCTTCTCACGTGAGTCCTACTACACATCTGATCATCAGCTGGCTAGACAGGCCCATCGGAACACATAACTGTATGCATTATGAGTAAAAACATCTAGGCGTAAAGCTATCTGCAAAGTAAAATAAATATTAAAATCTAAGGTCAAAGTCGGGTCTCCAAATCTGGGGACAAAGCTAAGGAGGGCTGGCTCCTGCGACTGAGCCATCCACAGGTTACTCACAGGAACAGCTCCCCAGTGGGGCTGGGAGGTGCCTGCCTGACTTCCCCTGGAAGCTCCCTCCCTGGAGGCCCCCAGAGAGGGCAACCTCTTAGTGAATCCATGGACGGAGAAAAATCAGGAAACATCTATGCTGGAGCCTGCTATAAATGTGGGCCAGGAGTGTAGTTGTCATGACAACCATAAACCAAAAAAAGTCTAGGAAAATGTGTGTTTTAAACACAAAGAAGAGGGAACCCTGATTCCTGGGGACTCATCTTGATTTCATACGCAGGGAAGGCTCTTGAGCAGAGGAGGGAGCGCTCACGATACCATGGTTAGCTGGAAATATCTCTTTTAAAAAAATCCTGAACCCTGTACTGGATTCTGTTCTTACTCTCTTTATTTGTTTTCATTCTGTTCTCTTTGGTCCCTGAAAGGGCTGTGCACTTAAAAAAGAGCTTGCCTGAGACAGGGGAGATGCTCAGTAAATAAAGGACCCAGATTTGTTCTTGAGTCATCAAAGTCTCTTTTGTAAAGTAATACAGCGTTCTGGTTTACTAATTAATCTACTGTGCTTTTGGTTAGTCTGAATCAGTCCTCAGGGCCTGACAGTCACGGTGTGGGGAACTAGAAAAAATAGCAACTGAGTTTATAGATCTGCAGACAGACTTTGAACTCTGGGGACCCCTCCCACTACAACCAACCACTGGGGCATGGACTGACATGGTTGGGGGCTTGTCCCTTTCGTTTGAAAAAGTGTTTAACCATATAGTTCCTTCTGCACTCTATGAAAGTAGTCATTGGGTAAAATTTGGAAAACATTTTTTTTAAGTTATACAAAATAAAATTCCCACATAAACTCCATTCCTGGAGATGAGCTTTCTTAAAGTATTGACGTATGATTTGTGTTTATGTGTGTGAGTGTGTATGCATCCATGTTTAACAAAACTTGGATCGTAGTATCCATGTTGCTTTTTTCTCTAGGTATATCAGTAATTTAGCTCATTTTCTTAAATATTTTCAGTAACATGATTTTTCAATGGCTATATAAAATGGCTACTGATATACCATAATATATTTAGCCCTCTACTCTTGTAGGTAATTTTAAATTGTTTACAAATTTTCACTATTGTGGATAATTCTAAAGCAACCATCCTTATATGGTACATAAAATTCTATAAACCTATCTCTGACCATTTTGTTTGATAAATCTTTAGTAATAAGGGTCAAAGAATACAAATATTTTAAAAGGCCTTTGCTGCATAGTGGTAGGCTAGTCCTAAGAAAAGCTGAACCTTTGTGAAGCCTGTTCCTGTACCCTCATCGATACTCTATGAGCATTAAGAAAAGTTCTTTGCCAGCCTGAGAGATGGAAAACAGTATGTCATTATTCGAATTTGCATTTCATTGATTACTGGTAAGTCTGGATGCTTTTTCTATGTTTGTTGGCATTATTTTTTTTATGTTGTAAGTTTTCTTTCATGCCTTCTTTTGGTATGTCTATCATTTTCTTTCTGAAAAAGTACTTTATAGATTGTTTGCTACAAATACTCCCAATTTGTGACTTGACGTTACATGAAGGGTCTTCAAAAAGTTCACGGAAGGATTTGTATTCTTTTTAATTCCATTTTTCTATTAACTTTTTGAAGTGCCCTCATCGGGTGTGTGTGTATTTAATTTTTAATCATTTCTATTTCACTCAGTGGGCAAGTTTTTTTCTCTCTTTCTGCCGTTCTTAGTCAATTAGGGAATAGGGAAAACACTTTTGAAGCCATACTCAAGTAATTTCTGCATGGAGTACTTTGATTACATTTAGAGCCTCTTGGAGGAGAATGATACCTCAATATTCCTTCTTTGTATAACTCTTTATGTTTTTTGGAAATCTTATATTACGTGTTCACCATAACAAGAAAGGCAGCTTAACTAAGGAGATAAAACAGCTATGACCCTATTTCACAGATGGGAAAACAAAAACTGAGAAATGGCTTGCATTAGATTGTACAATAATTCAGGGGTGGTGCTGGGTCAAGGACCTATCTTTTGACCCCCCGAGTGTTCTGTTCATGATCGTGCTGGACAACAAACTAGGTCGCCTCCATTTGTCTCAGAAAATGTGCAAATAGTGCAGTACTGCTCAAACTCCTGGCTTTGAATATGTGGCAGAGTTCCTCTGCCACTGACCTAGATATTACATGAGCACCCTAACCCTGGCTAGCTTAGAAGTTAATATTTTGTTAACTTTTCTTTGGTCTATGAGATGACTAAGTTTTGGACTATTTCTTGAGGAATGGGAGACTTATAAAACTGGCATTTCTTCTCTCATGGAATGTCTATGCTTTTGTTTCTTAAACACACAGCATTTGACAAATTGAGATTTCTATCAGTCCCAAGGAAATGGTATTCACCAGAACAGGGCAGGAATTCACAGTCCTCTTAACTGGAAACACATGCCCAATCTTGGGTGCAAGAGGCTGGATTCTTGTAGGATGACACCAACAGTGGTGCAGACACATTTGCATGTCGCTGGCCTGTAGGATTTTCTCCCTAAAAGGAGATCATTTTAGAGAATCTTCTCTGCTCAGCTCTGAAGACCAAAGAAGAAAATGTGCATACTCCACAGTATCTGGATTCTCTCTGCAGCCAGTGAGAGACCAAATGCCACTTAGTGCTTGGTCACTGTTTTCAGTAGGAGGGTGGTGGTATGCAGGGGCCCGGCTAGGGTGGCTTCATTGGCTTTGTGCTCCAAATACCTGCCAGTTTTGCCAGAAGAGGGGCTGCTTTCTGCCCTCTGCTGAGGATGTGGGTCCTTCTGACCTTGGTGACAAGGACTGCTGGAATGCAAGTCCAAGAGCAAAACAAACCACCCTGGCTTGTCTTACTGTGGTGCCCCATTTCTCTCCTTCCTGCATTCTTCTCCTGCCGCCCCCGCAATGCGGAGCGTGCTTAAGTCCACCTGTAAGGGGACTTTCGTTGCCCCCGTTTGCCCCTCATTTCTCTTCCTTCTTGTCCCCCTGCATCGTCTGTGAATTC